AGTTCACTGATCTAGCAACAGGAAAGCAGAGCTTCAGACTATTTATCTCAGTTTGCCGAGATTGTCCTCAAGTTGATTTGGGAACTAGGGGTTTGCTGGCTGGGCTTGTGTTCCGAACACTCAGTACAACCAAGCTACTACAACTGGGGTCAAACTCTCAAGCTTTGAAATTACCCAAAGGGACGCCAACAGGAGATGGGTCATTTGTTGTTTCCCAGACGTGTTTGGCACCCAGCCAGTTTTGGTGCAATGTGTGCGTGTGTGTGGGTGATTCTCATCTAGGAAATGTGGGAGATGCGAGGTCACACACGAAAAGTAATCGGACGGCACTGTGGAAATGTGTACATCTTAATCAACCTCATTGCAGTTTATTAATAGGGGGTGTCCCTGGGATTAGTGGGGAATCATCACTTTTGGAGGGGAACCAATTCAGCATTTTGTGTGTGTGTTGTTGTTTCTGAGGGTACCCCTGTTTAGGTTGGTTAAAAAAGAAGCCAAAAGCAACACAGACATCAATTTGGCGGAGGGGTCTCCCTACTTTGACACATTTGATAGCACTTGCGCAAATTACGAGTTTCAACAGACCCCGGTGAAAGGGGAGGGTCATCTTTGGTTGGAACCTACGGTCAATTTGTTTTGCTGATGTTGTTTTTGGGTGGAGTCCCCGGATTAATTCATAACCCTACCCTATGAAGTTTCGAGGCGGGTCAAAGCAAGAAGCGCTGCTTAAGGGCAAGCTTTCTGTGGGTATGTTTTCGATATTTTCCACCACAAGCTCCCACGACTTTAGACTCAGTTACACTCACGAAAACGTGTTGACGGATTTTGCGACAGGCCATGTTTGTGCATTCTTCTTCAGCCTGCAAATCTGGCCCGTTTGCTGCGCAACAAACGGCTTCCGCATCTGACAAGGCAGCTCCCAACGATTGCTATCGTGCGTTGCTTAACTTTATCGTTTGCATCCAACGTTCTTTTCTAAGCCACACGAACACTAAACTTAATTCAACGTTTTTCTACACCACAATCTCACTTAAACAACAGCGCTCTCTTCGATCCAGCATTCATTTCAGCGGACCTTGTCCATGCCTGTGGGCCATGCGGACCCCTCCAAATTCCACGCGGCAAACTTGATGTTGCTACCCTTCGGAAACGGACCGACACCTTGACAAACACCCGTTTACTCTCCAAAAGCGTTAATAGTTCGCGTCCAACGCTCACATAAGAAACAGAAAAGGCGGCTTAGAGCAATGAGGCCGCAACCTAATGGGGTCATGGATGTTCTTGGCTGATGCGTCTGCATTCAACAATGTTCGCCAAGTGTCAAGCCTTACACAGAAAATTAGAAACAACATATGAGCGGTATTCCAGAATTCAGTTGAGCTACCCAATGGACACCCGCCCTTGTTTGCGCAGCCGTGCCACTGGGAACCTCATAGACACCAACACTTGAAAGCAGGCCCATGTAGCCTGCTAATGCTAAGCACCTCATGCTTGGTCTGTCCACAACAATTTTGCCGGTTCCCTTCAGACCGCTTTGGGACCTTCTAAAACCCAAGCCCCACTGTTTAGATTTGTATGTCCAACCCCCCTTCCAAGACCCATGTCGCGCGACCCAAAACTGCTCCAGTCTCAAGCCCCTCTTCGGCCAGGCCCAAGCCCCCGCCCAGTCAACAATCAAATCCCAACTGGAGAAGCAGTGAAAATTGTCTCTGGAAACCAGACCGGCCTTTAAAAACCGGTCCAAATTCAGGAAACGGGTCAGATTTTGCCTAAAGGCTAGTCATATGCCTCTACAAGCCGGTCACATTTCCCCCCAAAAACCGGCCCTAGAAACCGGTCAAACTCCTTACGTCTTCCCTCAGACCTCACTTGGGCCCCAGTCCACTGCCCCTCTGTGGCTCTCTGACTGCAGCTCTCTTTCTATCTAGCCGTGCAAGCCATGTGGAAACGCGCGAACATGCACCCACTCTCTATCTTGGAAACCAGCTCGTGCGTTTCGGTGCCGACTCACTCACTGAAACAAACACAACGCTTCAAGGCAAACCAAAACACAATACCAAAGCCAGCCAAAACATTGTGGTCGAGGCGGGCAAAGCGCTTACAATAAGGTGGCCGGCCAACCATGTCATTCAAGCATATGTAAGCATATGTATATATATATAATACACCTGCAGGACAACATCGCCTCGGCGAATATGCATATATATATATATATATATGGATTCTCTGGGCATAGTAGGAATACATACTACATTTATATGTATATGTTACACACATAATGTGCTAATATATAATATACTTATATCTATATGTGATACCATATCATCTCACCTCCTACTAAAAAAGGAAAGCCCTGGGACCCAATGGACTTGCGGATGCCTCTCGCCAAGGCACTGCCCACAACTGCAACGGCCTCCCCGGCAGCCAGGCGGAGGTTCACTCCCTCCTCGGCGAGGGAAGGGCCCAAGACCCATCGACACCCAAACCGCAATTCCCAGTTGGTTGGTTGGTTGGTTGGTTGGTTGGTTGGTTGGTTGGTTGGTTGGTTGGTTGGTTGGTTAATCGGTTGGCTGGTTAGATAGTGGTTAGATGGTTGGTTTGTTGGTTGGTTGGTTGGTCAGTCAGTCAGCCAGTCAATCAGTCAGTCAGTCAGTCAGGCAGGCAGGCAGGCAGTTTACTTTAGTTTAATTTGGTGTAGCATAGTTTAGGTTAGTTTCGCTATGATTTTGATGGAATACACAGCCAACTACAGTAATATGTGTGTGATGTTGTTGGATTGTTTTTCAGGCACCAAAAGGAAGACTGAAATCCATGTGTGGAATCACCCATTTCACACATAGCCACTTGGCTGTAACAACATGGCTAAGAACATGGGTAAAAGGTCACATAGGCCTTACTCCTATAAGACCAGGCAAGGCAGTAGAGCCGCCTAGTAAAATGGCCAATGGGGGGTTTGGGTGTTGACTTGTGTTAGAGGTGAGGGGTTGATCCACAAATATAATATAATATATGGATCTAGGCAGTTGAACAATGCGCAAATCTTTGCTACAACATATTCCAGGGATATTTTGCTCATATAGGGATCCGGCAAAGTCGTGCCGAAGTCATGCCTTTGACAGACACACACATGCAGAATTGGATTCGCAGTTCTGAAATGCCATGCCGAAGTCATGGCTTTCGACCTTCGCCTCGCGTAAAGAAGCCACAGCTGGGAAACTGTTACAAGGGAACGACATGGAACGCAGCATATGGCATATTTACAGAATTTACAGTCACAGGCTTCGGGTTTGAAACAATCACGAACAGCCCTGATGTCTCACAAACACTCTGCCACGTTTCCCTCAATCTGCCCCTTGAGGCCTGCAAAAGGAAACACCTGTCATGGGAATCCCAGCAGTGCAGAAAGGCGGAGTTCATGCCAGCTGCGCTTCTATGCTTTCGATTGGACAAGGCACGACTTCTTCGAAACCTAACTCAAGCGCGACTTTGTCAATTTCCCTGCAGTCTGCGGGACAATGCTTCTGTATCAAAGACATCTTTTCAAAGGCTGGGGCCCCAGGTTCTGACTTACCAAACATCCACAGGTTTCAGCAAGGCTAAGCGGATAGAACACAAGTGAAACACATGAACAGAATCAAAGAAGCCTGGCGGACACTGATTCCCATGAACACAGCCTAGCCAGCGGAAGGCATGCCTTCAACTAAACCCCTTGACGGGGGAACAAGCCGCCGAAGAGTTGCTCCCAGTCGCCCTAATGCCCGGCATTCACCTCTTTTTGACCCCGGAAGCCATATTGCCATAGTTGTTCGCGATACTATGATATCTCCCTCCAAGCCACAGTAGCCGCTTGCTTCTCGAAACTTTTATCAAACATCGAAGCTAAAACCTCAGAGCAAACTGAGCAAACTCCAACTAAAACCAAAGGGAACCCACAACAAAAAAGCAATCAACTGGGAGGAATCCTCGCTTTGACACACGGCCAAATGCACCTGACATGCGCACTTTGGGTGACAAGATGCCAGCGCTGGGGCAAGGTGGGGCCGATAGCGCACAGCCACATTCACCAGCTCGAGACCTGGCCATCAAGGAGGTTTCCGGAGCCAGGGACGCCCTCCAGGTGTTGGGCTTCCTTTTGGTGTCCCTCAAAGCCATCAACAAAAGGTGCAGCATTCAAATGGATCTAGAACTATCCGAGCGCCCAAAACCATTGACCCTTCGATGCACACTTCGCCTGTGCCCTCTCTGCTGTGGCTGCCCTGCAGTGCTGCGGGGCTGGGACTTCCTTTTCGCGCGTACTCGCAAAGCCGCTCGATGGAGACCAGCTGCATCCTTGGACAATGGGCCACGATTAGACCCCCTGCAATAGGTGAACTTGCTACTGGTTGAAAGGAAGTGGAAAGCCAAACAGGCAAGCCGTACAAAACGTACGCAAGGTCTGGCAATGAATGTTCAATCCTACTATGGATTCATGAAATCCTGCACATCTTCACCTTTTGGAAACCATGTGAAACCATTGTCATTCTTCTAGGGTTTCTTAGGTGGGGCAGGATTTCATCCATCCACAGCATAGAAATGGACCCAGGGGAACCAACAGGTAAACTTGGTCAATGTTCAACCTTAAGCCTAGGAGATCTAAGTGTTGTATATCTTCCTTTTAGTAGCAAGCCTTGACCCAGGGAACTCGGAAAAAGTCTTCTGGGAGGCTCCATCGATACACTGCACGTTCATTTTTCTCGGAACTTCGAGTGAAAACACCGAAGATTTGTTGTGTTTCGGCGCAGGGCAGCCAAGGCCCAGTCCAGATATTACACGACCACACGCCGGGATTCTCAGTCTGGGTTCGCAGTATGTACATATTGATATACTGTATTTATCACACTACCAACTGCGGAACGCACAAGACTCATTGCATGGGTCAACACGTGGGTCTCTCTTTGCTTCTGTCCAAGGCTAGGCTTAGGCACGTTGCTTCTTCTTGACACGCGAAAAAGAAAGAGCAGACTATCCATCGACCTTGCGAGTAATTCCGTTCATCTGCGAAAGGGACATCTTTGGTGCTCCCGTATCAAGTTGATATCCAGCACTGTGACAGCCTGAACCCTTATCTTGCCAAGTAGCTGAGCGGCGTCTTTCGACCAGGGTCACTGGGAAACTAGGAAAGTGTCATGCTGAGAACCCACATGATAGGCCAAGGAGGATGGGGGGTAGCGCTGTAGGGATGCAGGCAGCACCTATTCGCAGAAGGCTCCTACTGATCATTAAGGGTTGGGAAGGACTGGGGGGGGTTCAAAAAGACAAGGATCAAGGGGCATAGCTTAGACCTACCTTTCTTTCGGAATTTGCAGCCATCACATTCCTAGGATCAACCCAAGGTTCAGGAATCGCAGAGGAAACCATGGAGTTCTCCTTCTCAATATGGCCGCAGGACGCAACTCCTTTGGTAGGATTACTTTGTTAAACGCTCGTACTGGTTTCCCTCGGACTCGTGCAAAATTGTGGCAAGCAATACTTAGGCCACCTTTGTGATTGCCTGCCAAACAAATAGTAAACCAGGCTCACTACAAGGCGGGGTTTTCTCTGCTCCGAACTCCAATCTGCGTTCTGACTGCTGCGAGGAATCTCCATATCCGAGAAGTTCATGACGAACTGCTGCACAACGGCTGACACCTGACCAACATGCAGTGGCCAAGCAGTGCCCAACAAGGCGCTGTGAGACTTGCACCCAGTACGTATACATTTATATGTATAATATATTTATATATATATATATACACAAATGCGTATGTACATATATATATATATAATGCGAGTGAGTGTAAATGCCAAGGATCCTGATTCAACAACATGAACAACGCGGGCCGTCTGACCACAAGTCATGATATTCAGGCATGGAGAAGACTGGCAGTCGCGGACGTCGCTGTGGCAGCAATGAGGTTGAGTTCGTATAACCTTTGGGCAAACACATTAAGCTTGAGCTTCACACTGTGCTTGCACGACCAGGAATGAGACGGGTGCGAGAGCCTTATACAACCTATGCTCAGAATGGTATCACTTAAAAGTCCACCGCAAGTTGCTGGAACAACAGGTTGAAACTTTTGATTGAAGGAACACACATGGACAGAACAGGGAAAGCAAACCCATTTGAGGGGACCCCGAAGAACTGTAGTCCTGTCAGGCGGCGGTGGGCACTTGGTTGCAAAGTGTGCATTTTGCCCTTGCTTGACGGAAAAACACGGACCCTCCTCAAATATAATTTGGAACTTATGGGGTGGGCATTTCCTCACAACGGGGAGCAAAAAGTAACCCTTTTTGGCCGGCTGCAGCAACAAACTTTTGGTTTGTCTTGGATTCATTTGTCCCTTTGGCTGCACCGGATCATCATGGGGATATGTTGATATGAGCCCATATGGGGCGAACCGGCAAACGGTCTTAATTCGGGCACGGTTCGGATCTTTAGTGGCCTTTGAAGTTAAAAAGGGTCGTCGCATCATGTCCCACCCTGCGGGATAGACAAATCCGAATTGAAGCTCAAGTACCATTTTGGACCCGAGGGAAACTCCCACAATTCACCAACTGGACACAACTGATCAAGACAAACACCTTCACTCTGAGTGAGCTTGCTTCAAGTGTTCAATCGTTTGTCCAGAGACGCTGCATTTTCGTGGGCCTCGCTGCTGTAGTTGATGGAAAAGCCGACCAGTGCAGCACTGCGCATGGCGATGACGCCGTAGTACTGCAGCACCTGGCCCGCGAGCGGCTCTCCAAATGGGACCCGCAGGTGGCCTTTAAAGCAGGTGACCGGTGAAACACCGAAGGTTTCAAATGTCTCACCCGAGGCCGAATGGATGCAAAGAATCCCTTCTGTTTCCAGAAAAAGAAAAAAAAACATACAAAAACCTACCACACACTGGAAAGCAGATTCAATGTCTTCCTTCGCCAGCTTGACGCGCGTGTTGCATACTGGTGTCTTTGAGGTCCGACCCGATGCCAGGAACCAACACTTTGGCCAAGGCACATGTGCAAATATGGGTGTGGCTCAAAATTAAACAGGAGGGGTTACGCGATTTTGGTCCATGTTTCCACTTATCAGGGTTCCATTTTGGTACCGTTTTTTTGTGCCCACAGCCATATGATTACAGCACTTAGAAGGACCACTGAGAAAACCTGCCACCCATCTTCGTCAGGGCTGCACAACGGGCGTCGGCATGCAGAGAGTCCGCACCGCCCAGTTGAGTGTATTTGTAGGCGTTTCCGTTTCTCGCATTTTGTGAACTCAACCACTTCGCGGCACACAGGAATGTCCTTGGGAGCACCATACTAGCTTGCATGTGCCTGTAGACTATCCAGAATCCCATTACAAAGTCCAGCCTTCATTCCAGGCTCAAAAAATCGAACCACATGTCCCCTTGGGACAGAAGAAACCGCATGGCGCCGTAACTACGCAGGTCTCAGGACGCCTGAGAGGCGCAAGCAATCCCATGCCAGGCACGCTGGTTGGAGCTGATTGAAGGTGCTGAGGAGGAATCCCACCAGGCCCATGCGCCTCCGCCATTCCCACAGCTTCTCTGTCTTTCGAAAAAATGGTTTCGAGCAACAAGGAATGAAGTACAAGGAAACAAAGCAGACTGGGCCGTCCCTCTTTTCGTGCTTCACGGCTCCTAGGCTGACAAAAGGCCATCATGTTTTCTTGTGATACACATTGTTTTGTCAAAGGCAAATGCCTGGCAGAACTTTGTGAAGAACAATGCCCTCACTGAGCAAGTTACAATCTTGGATTGAAGCCTTCCAACCTGGGTGCAGCCTGTGAATCGGTGAAAGCCTCCCTGCTGGGCCATCGCCACGTGGCAACGATCGACAAATGTCACGTCCAAACGCCATTTTGGAGGCAACAGCCCCTAAAAAGTGAAGGCAAGACAAACACAACAGCACTGTTTGTAGGCTGAAACCGGCAATTAGAACAACGCATGAACCCATCTTCAAAGAATAAATGTAGAGCCCAAAGGACCAGGCGAAACCAGGTGAACTTTTTGGGTTAGGACTCAGCGAGCTTTCCCGAGCTCCGGGCAGGCCGATCCATTGTCCCAAGGTCCTCAGCGCGAATTGTGAGCCCTTGGCCCGCGCAGAAACTCCGACTCTCCACATGACATGCCCTCGCAAGCTGGTTTCCTTGTTGGCTTGCCTTTACACCAACCGGAAGGGTGCCAACAACAAAAAAACACCCGAATCCGTTTAATCACACAAGAAATGAAATGATGAATTTGCTCGACGTTTACCACTTGGGAGCAGCCTGGCAACGGATGCAACGGATACATGGCTCAAATTTCCAGCGCTGGGGTCTCCCAAGACCCAAATAATGCTTTAGCTCAATGAACACAACTGGGCATCTCACCCAAACACAACCGGCAACATGCCTTGGAGAACGCATTTGTCCTTTCAGGATGACACACTTTCCACAAATTGACGCAAACGCAAACGAGATGAGCCATGTGCGGCCTGCGCATGATGACCAGGCGAAGGCTATCAGAGAATACCCTCCATCCACCAGGTGGCCGTCTTTTGATGACTTGGCTCCCAGTGAAGGCACGAAAAGGACATGCTTGTTTGGTTTTCGCACAAGAGGCTAACAGATACCAGCAAGTGATGGATACCTTGTGTTTGTTGGCTGGATGAACGTGCCATGTGACAGCTCAACCTTGGCATTTGTTTTGCTGAATCACGCAGAGCATGCGATATGTGCCAGTGAGTCAATAGCCAGTAAACACATTCCTCAAACTCTCAATTGAACCGTAGCCTGTGGCTATTATTTTGTCTTCTCACCTTGACAAATAGTTATTCTATGACATCGGACGCCAAAAGATGCACGCTTTGCTGGGTTCGCGCATGTTATTTGGCAGCTGTAGTGCGTTTGGAGTGTTGGAGAGAAACAACTTCATGTACCAGTAGTCTCAATTTTGTTTTTGCCCCTGAAAAGGGGCGTTGCATAGTTTGCTAATGGATGAACAAGGGTTATTGATCGGCAAATCTTTCCGCTTTTAGCAGACAGGCTGTAGTGGTGAAACTGTTTGTGCAGCAGACTTAAGCAGAGATACGCAGTCGTGCGGTCTATCATGTACAAAGAGCAATTCCATTGCACATCTCCAAGAAGAAGGCATTCCAAGCAAACATGTATCAACATGTAGACATGCTAGAATCCTCCGGAATTCATAGAAACTGAGGTACTCCTTGAACAAAAACAGCTAGAAGGCCATTTATTCTGTTGTCGGCAAGATTAGCCTCTACTTTTTGCACAAAACAAGCTGTCTTTCCGTGCATTTTCTTTGCGCAAAGAATCTGCGCAAGTTCTCTGAGCAAGTTTCTCCGAACAAGTTCTCTGAGCAAGTTTCTCTGGGCAAAACAAATGGCTGAAACGCTTCGATGAAAGATGGTAACGGAATACCTACCCTCTTGCACACAAGTAATGCCCATGCTCTGGATTCAAGATTCGCAATTGCCCAGGAGCTTTCTCCAGATCTTGACTCCAGCGAAAAGGCCATAGAATCAGTTTAAGCCTATAGTTTAGTGTATGAAGCGAGTCACTCGAGTTTTGGACACAACGTAATTCCATTACAACAAGAAACAAAAACAAGCATTCCAAGCAAGATGTAGACCCGGGGAAATTACAGACACGCGACCAAGAAAGGAAACTTGAGCATCCCTGAAACAAACAAGAGCTGAATCTTTCCAAGATTCAAAAATTACAATTGCCTGGGAAAGCTTTGTGAAGAAAACAATGGATATTCAACATTGAAGCTTGCCCATGAAAATTGTTATGGCTTTTTTGTCAACTTGACCTCTGAAATTATGACTGCTCAATCTAAACATTTCAGAGCAGCACGTAGATCCATAATGCAGAACTTCTGCTTTGAGGGGAAATCATCTGTTTGAATGTGTCCCCGTGAGATCTAAATACCGGTATGAAGGTTTCTTAGCACTGTCATGCAGTTTCCTTAATACCGGGCATTAAGGAATCTGAGATTGCTGGGGGACTTTGGAGAGAAATCTTGGATCCAGCAATGCCCCCCCTAAGACCTGAATACCGGTATTAGGGTGCCTTAGCACTGTCATGCAGTTTCCTTAATACCGGGTGATAAGGAATCTGGATCCAAGATCCAAGATCCAAGATTGCTGGGGGACTTTTGAGGGGAATTTTTGAACAAATCCTGACAACAATGGCTAAATGCAGAGAAGCGGGGGCACCAGGGGGGGTAGTACCATACATATATATATATATATATCAAACCAACCAACCCGGAAACTCCACAACTTGAAGATGCTAACCTGTTTCTGTTGTTGGCGTCGGCATGCTCACCGGATTGGCTTGAGCCCCCGGCGTCTTTACAAAGCCTGCCCTTTGCAGCTCCTGCCACACAGAAAGCTGCCGAAAGCTCCACACTGACCGAAGTGAGAGAGGATTCTGCTGATGTTGCGTGTGTTGACAAAACCTGTTATGAGTTGTCTCGATCAATATTGTGATGTGTAGCTACTACTTGCACAGCAACATGAGGAAAGAGAGCTGTCGTTGTTCGAGTTGTGGTTCAACGTACTTGCACGGTTCAGCTTCACGGAGCAGTTGCAGACAATTGCCATGGGAAGAGTGTTTGCACCATGTTACTTTGATGTTTGCCCCCAAGAATACGATGCCCTCGAAGCAACGTCAAGGGACTCTGGGCTGACAGCAACAGCATCGTCTCAGCCCATTGTTGCTTAAGTCTAGGCAAATCGCATGCATGATTCAAGAACTGAATATTGAAAACCCCAATAAATTATGCTTCTTCAGTGAGGTCTGTGCCCGGACTAGTGGAGCCACTGTGCTTCATGCAGATTCATGTACGGCATGATCACAACTATTCCTGCTGAACTTAGCCATGCTAGATGTGCCAGCATTATGATGTTCAGCTCTTGACAGCTCCAACTGTCCACTCATCCCCACGGGCACAAAACAGCCCTTCCCGGGAAAACAAGATCTTGTTAGCCACCACTGCTGACAAAAGGCGCTGCGCAAGCCAAACACTGCCAACCATCCTAGAAAAGGAAGCTGTTCTCGGGAGGGAAGGCGTAGAAGAAACCTGTAACCGCGCAAGCAAAGCTTGGCCAATCTGACCTCCCCATTTTGTTCCTTGATCCTTTTTTCGAGGCTGGGCTGCAGCCACACAGGAGTGTTTGAGGAGCCAAGGCTGAGCACATATGACGAGCCATACATGCACTCATCAGTTGGTCAAGCATCTTTGTTTGATATTGTTAGATTACCATTTGGCTGTCTGGAACGGTAGATCTCGTGCCACAAGTAACTACGACCGAGATAAGTCTAGTTTGGGCAAACCATGGAGTTATCATGGGGCAAACACTTGTGGGGTGACCAGTTATTCTGAGGCAAACCATGGATTTACCAATGGGTGCACCAGGGGTTTGTGGGGTGAACCACGTCTGAAGAGGTCAGCCGTGCAATGTGTGGGGTGAACTACGCATTAATAGGGTGGGCCATTGTGAGGTAAGCTAGGGACTTACCATTTCGTGAACCATGGATTCCTGGGGTGGACTATCCATTGCAAGGTATTGAATAGGGTGAATGGTGGATTTATGGGGGAAACCAATTATGATAAGGCAAGCAGTGAGATAATCCACGTAGTTAGCACAATGTTGTCCCAAGAAGAAAACAAAACAATCAGGTTGATTCAAGGGGGGCGGGGTCCCGCGCAATGCGCCTCCAAGTTTAGCAGGCAACGGGTCAGCACCTGGCCAAAAGCGCTTCCGAAGCTGACCTTGAACAGTCAATTCAAGTGTACACCTAGACTCAGATAGGTGCATATTGACATACATGTCTATCTCTGCGTATATAACTATATCGGGGGACCTACATGTATGTTTATATGTATATATATATATGTATGTAATCAAAGGAAGTTTAACAAGAAACTTCCGTAGTACTGGAACTAAGTGAGCTAGCTGCTTTGACATATAGCTATGACAGGTAGCTAGCATGACAAATAGATAGCTTTGACATATAGCTAGCTTGACAGATAGATAGCTTTCCAATATTTCGCAAGCACTCTCTGCGAGCTGGGGGATGGCAAGATGCAGAAAACGTTGGCGCTGTGCGTGAATTGGGCTTCCGGACAGTGCGCAAACCACCTCGGCTGCGACGCCTGTACGGAGGCGGGTGCGGAACGGGTTCGGAACGGTCTCGGAGACGGGACCATTGGCACGGCCGCGCGAAGGTTTCGCAAGGTTTGAATTGCGTGGCAGGCGCAGCACTTTCGCAAGGTCAAGTGTAGATTTCGTGACAGGCGCAGCACTTTCGCAAGGTCAAGTATAGATTTCGTGGCAGGCGCAGCACTTTCGCAAGCACTCTCTGCGAGCTGGGGGATGGCAAGATGCAGAAAACGTTGGCGCTGTGCGTGAATTGGGCTTCCGGACAGTGCGCAAACCACCTCGGCTGCGACGCCTGTACGGAGGCGGGTGCGGAACGGTCTCGGAGACGGGACCATTGGCACGGCCGCGCGAAGGTTTCGCAAGGTTTGAATTGCGTGGCAGGCGCAGCACTTTCGCAAGGTCAAGTGTAGATTTCGTGACAGGCGCAGCACTTTCGCAAGGTCAAGTATAGATTTCGTGGCAGGCGCAGCACTTTCGCAAGCACTCTCTGCGAGCTGGGGGATGGCAAGATGCAGAAAACGTTGGCGCTGTGCGTGAATTGGGCTTCCGGACAGTGCGCAAACCACCTCGGCTGCGACGCCTGTACGGAGGCGGGTGCGGAACGGTCGGAACGGTCTCGGAGACGGGACCATTGGCACGGCCGCGCGAAGGTTTCGCAAGGTTTGAATTGCGTGGCAGGCGCAGCACTTTCGCAAGGTCAAGTGTAGATTTCGTGACAGGCGCAGCACTTTCGCAAGGTCAAGTATAGATTTCGTGGCAGGCGCAGCACTTTCGCAAGCACTCTCTGCGAGCTGGGGGATGGCAAGATGCAGAAAACGTTGGCGCTGTGCGTGAATTGGGCTTCCGGACAGTGCGCAAACCACCTCGGCTGCGACGCCTGTACGGAGGCGGGTGCGGAACGGTCTCGGAGACGGGACCATTGGCACGGCCGCGCGAAGGTTTCGCAAGGTTTGAATTGCGTGGCAGGCGCAGCACTTTCGCAAGGTCAAGTGTAGATTTCGTGACAGGCGCAGCACTTTCGCAAGGTCAAGTATCGATTTCGTGGCAGGCGCAGCACTTTCGCAAGCACTCTCTGCGAGCTGGGGGATGGCAAGATGCAGAAAACGTTGGCGCTGTGCGTGAATTGGGCTTCCGGACAGTGCGCAAACCACCTCGGCTGCGACGCCTGTACGGAGGCGGGTGCGGAACGGGTTCGGAACGGTCTCGGAGACGGGACCATTGGCACGGCCGCGCGAAGGTTTCGCAAGGTTTGAATTGCGTGGCAGGCGCAGCACTTTCGCAAGGTCAAGTGTAGATTTCGTGACAGGCGCAGCACTTTCGCAAGGTCAAGTATAGATTTCGTGGCAGGCGCAGCACTTTCGCAAGCACTCTCTGCGAGCTGGGGGATGGCAAGATGCAGAAAACGTTGGCGCTGTGCGTGAATTGGGCTTCCGGACAGTGCGCAAACCACCTCGGCTGCGACGCCTGTACGGAGGCGGGTGCGGAACGGGTTCGGAACGGTCTCGGAGACGGGACCATTGGCACGGCCGCGCGAAGGTTTCGCAAGGTTTGAATTGCGTGGCAGGCGCAGCACTTTCGCAAGGTCAAGTATAGATTTCGTGGCAGGCGCAGCACTTTCGCAAGGTCAAGTATCGATTTCGTGGCAGGCGCAGCACTTTCGCAAGGTCAAGTACAAAATTCGTGGCAGGCGCATCACTTTCGCAAGGTCAAGTACAGAATTTGTGGCAGGTGCAGCACTTTCGCAAGGTCAAGTGCAAAATTCGTGGCACGCGCAGCACTTTCGCAAGGTCAAGTACAGATTTTGTGGCAGGCGCAGCACTTTAGCAAGGTCAAGCACAGATTTGGTGGCAGGCGCAGCATTTTTGCAAGGTCAACTTTCGCAGCCGGGGCTCGAAAATCGCAACTTTTAAGTACGAAAGTAGTACGCGAAGTCAACTTTCGCAGCTGGGGCTTGAAAATCGCAACTTTTAAGTACGAAAGTAGTGCGCAAAGTCCACTTTCGCAGCCGGGGCTTGAAAATCGCAACTTTTAAGTACGAAAGTAGTACGCAAAGTCCACTTTCGCAGCTGGGGCTCGAAAATCGCGACTTTTTAGTACGAAAGTAGTACGCGAAGTCCACTTTCGTAGCTGGGGCTCGAAAATCGCAACTTTTAACTACGAAAGTAGTACGTGAAGTCCAGTTTCGCAGCTGGGGCTCGAAAATCGCAACTTTTAAGTACGAAAGTAGTACGCGAAGTCAACTTTCGGGGATTGAACATCGCAACTTTTAAGTGCAGAGAAAGATGGGTAGATAGATAGATCAATAAACAGATATAGAGATAGCTAGAGAAATAGATAGAAAGAGATAGAGAAACAGAGATAGACAGAGATAGATAGATTTGTAGATAGATAGACAAATAACTAGCTAGATAGATAAAGAGATAGAGAGATAAATAAATAGAGAGGTAGATAGATAGATAGGAGATAGAGAGGTAGATAGATAGGTAGATCTATAGATAAATCGCAACTTTTAAGTACGAAAGTAGTACGCGAAGTCAACTTTCGCAGCTGGGGCTTGAAAATCGCAACTTTTAAGTACGAAAGTAGTGCGCAAAGTCCACTTTCGCAGCCGAGTAGTACGCAAAGTCCACTTTCGCAGCTCAACCTCGAAAATCGCGACTTTTTAGTACCAAAGTAGTACGCGAAGTCCACTTTCGTAGCTGGGGCTCGAAAATCGCAACTTTTAACTACGAAAGTAGTACGTGAAGTCCAGTTTCGCAGCTGGGGCTCGAAAATCGCAACTTTTTAAGTACGAAAGTAGTTCGCGAAGTCAACTTTCGGGGATTGAACATCGCAACTTTTAAGTGCAGAGAAAGATGGGTAGATAGATAGATCAATAAACAGATATAGAGATAGCTAGAGAGATAGATAGAAAGAGAGAGAAAGAGACAGAGAAACAGAAAGAGAAAGAGAAAGAGAGAAAGAGAGAAAGAGAGAAAGAGAGAAAGAGAGAGAGAGAGAGAGAGAGAGAGAGAGAGCAAGGGGCCAAGGACAGTTCTCCAAACTATAGTTGTTCACTGCTTTGAAACTTCCGCCCCCCGGCTCTGCCGGACCTTACTTGTATATATATATATATGCATTGTGTATGTATACGCATAAATACATGTATATTGCTAAGTGAACCTATTTCGTGTGCATGCTATACAGTGTTCAAACTATTCATGTAATCATGTTCTGTAATATCGGCTTGGCTGCCTCAAACAGCGTGTAAAACTTGGGCAAGGAATTCACATGGCACAATCATGACAACTATGGAGTCGGGACCATCGATCAAAGAACAAATACATCGTTGACGCCTAGAGGCTTGGCTTCTTTCTTTGATGCAATGTGGTCAAAGTAGTAGGTATACAAACATGACTCCGGTGAGGACACAATCGCTTGCACTGTACTTGGCTGGATATGGCCCCCATATCAAAGATTTGTGAATGTTCTAAGCCTTGAGCGCTTGCAAGAGAGCCCGAATCTTGTGAAGTGGCCATACAAAAGCGGTATCGTTTGGATACCATGCGCGCCTGAAATCATGTGTCGACGAGGCGCACGACACACAGTCCCACAATCCATTGTGTCTGATTCTCCTCTTGTGGCTCCCACAAACAAGCCAACAGTGAAACGTCTGGGCAGGTTTCGCTCAGAGCAAACAACACATACAAGAAATGGTCGTCCGACACCTGTGCAAACGGATTGTCAACAAACCAATCGGCACACCTGTGATCGGTAAATTCCAAAAACACGCGTATCCACAATATGTGGATAAGGACGTACTAGACAATTCAATCCAGCTCCATCGTGAGGGGATCTATCTCCCAATGCAAGTTCTAAACGCAATCATTGCATGCAAATCACGCAGCATACACTTGAGCCACTGGCCAACCATCGGCGTCCGTTGCGTCTTGCTTTGACCCGAACCAACCGCGCCCTGAACCCCAGCTCGTGCCTGCTCCTTCGCGCTGTAGGCACGAATCGTGACACCTGGTGAGGTGCACGTAAGCTAATTATGGCTCAAACATGCCCACAGCGTGAATCGTGTCGTATCGCTTTATGACTTGGCCTCCGGTGATGGCATCGGTCATCTCTTGGTACACCTCCGACCTGAAGCGAGCCGGCGCGTTTGAAAGCTTGTGAGTTTCCCAACTGCCCCGCATACTGACATGGATCCCATCCAAAAAAGAAAAACACCGTCATTTTCAGAGGAATCTCAACATCTCAACAAACATTCCCTTAACCCAAGGGGAGGCTTACAAACGACCCTGCAAGTGCCAAGCCCTCAAGTGGGGGATGGCAGGCTCCACATGCTCCGCATTGCTTTTCGACACTTCCTGACTCTCAGCGCTACATTTGCTATGGGCTACCGCGGCCGGTGGTGGCTCGCGCTCGCTGAGCTGCCGGCTGACTCACCAGATACAAACCTCAGGAACAACACAATGGATATTTCGGGACAAATCCCCAGCTTTGTGCAAGTCCAAGGTTGGAATCCCACGGAGGAACCAAATAGTTCACAGGCAAAGGGAGAGTACCAAAGCGAATGAACAGGTTGTCGAAGTTGCCTGTTTGGGCTTCAGTGGGAGCGCCTTCCTATCGTGGATCCAAAAAATGGGTACCCGATGCAACTAACATCCCAATTCAATTGCACCTGGTCATCCCGTTCAACTCAACGTATTCAGGAGTATTGACCATGTTCGGACAATGATCCATATGCATGCCGCAAGCAAACGGCAAACCAACGCCATTCTTTGATATAAATAGGCTATCGTAGTAAGAGGTGCCAGGGATGCTGAGCAAATATTCAAGTCAATGTGCATCATCTGTTCCTCGACCTCAGCCAAGGCAAAAGCAGCCTGATATAACCTCCCCAACAACAGACCCCTCTACTTTCCATCAAACGAATTGAAATGAATCAAATGGCCACGGGTCAAAATCCTGTACCCCCAGTGAACCGTCCAATCCCCACTAAAATAGACTAAATTGGGCGGTGCACCTACCCCAAATGGTACCATTGGTTTTGACCCACAGCCAAATCGCAGGCCAAGCCGCGCTGGATCTCACGGATGGTATTGCGGTAGTACCGTGCAAAGTATTCCATCAGCCTTGGGCTGGCAGTTGGCGAATCCCTTCTCAATCCCAAGCGAACAATTTAAAGCTTTTGGTTGGCTGTTGGTGGGTCGGTAGGTTGGTGGGTTGGCGGGTTGGCTGGTTGGCTGGCTGGCTGGCTGGCTGGCTGGCTGGTTGGTTGGTTGGTTGGTTGGTTGGTTGGTTGGTTGGTTGGCTCGCTGGTTGGCTGGCTGGTGGGTTGGTGGGTTGGCTGGTCGGTTGGTGTGGTTGGTTGGTTGGTTGGTTGTTTGGTCGGTTGGTTGGCTGGTTTTTGGCTTGGACTTGTTCGGTTTGGTTTAGTTTCTTCTCGGTTGATTGGTTGGCTGGATGGCTTGGTTTGTTTGAATTGTTTGGCTTATGTGCTTGTTTGCTTGCCTTTTTGGTTGTTGTTTGGTTGGTGGTTGGTTGGGTCAGGTTGGGTTGGGTTGGGTTGGGTTGGGTGGGTTAGGTTGAGTTGGGTTGGTTCGGATTGGCTGGCTTGGTTTAGTTGGTTCGTCTTGGTTGGTTTGGTTTGGTTGGTTTCCTTGGTTTGTTTGTTTGTTTGTTAAATAAAGACAGCCAAAAGGAAATCAGTCGCATTCAGCAGCCATGTGGAACTTGTTTCAGTCTGGCCAGTGCAAGAGTAACTGACTCATGCGAGTCTGGGTCCAAACAACATGTCCTTCCCAGGTGCTTTTCATGGGTCAGGGTGCAACCTGAGTTGTACCTGTGGTACCCTGAGGCCGCACCTCGGAAAGTTGGGCGATTACCATCGAGGACTCTCATTCCAACCGATCTGGATATAACGGAAGTGAAGTGTCGCTCCGACCAATGGGCGAAGGGCTACCGTCCCGCAAGCATAGCATTGTAGTGCAAGGCAGTTACAAGCCACGCTGCACGGTTGAAAGGTCAGCTTGGGAACAAGAATCAGCACAAAGCGTTGTTCATCCAACGGAGTGATACTTCAGGCAAGGACGCGATATTCGGCCATGCCAACAGCTAATCATAACTCTGGGTCAAGCGCTGGAATTGAAATCTGTTCAGAACCAGTAGGCCTGGACAGGTGACTTGCTCTTCTACAAACAAAACCTTGAGTGGCACCTGAATTGCATCCAAACAGCTGTCATTTTATGATCGTAACGAGGAGTGAATGAGACACATCACCTTTAGCTACTAGAAGCGGAACAGAAACTGTGAGGGCATTCACGTAAACCAGGTGTGCTGACTCAGGGGTCTTTTCAAGCGCTGGTTTAGAGAGCTGATGCCCCACATTGCTTTCAGACAGGCGCCGACCACAAGCAACAGATTGCGAAGAAAGAACGGGTAGGAGACCAAGAGTGGTGGGACGCACAGAACTTCAATATGGGCCAACCTTGAATGCACGGCGTTCTGTTCAAAAAGCAAAATGGTTCCTCACAAGCTGTTCACTCTAAGACTCTAGGAGTGTGCTCAAACAGCCATCGCACAAAGATGCTAGCCTAACCAAAACGATGCCAAGCGCCTTGAATCACGAAGTGGAAGTTTCAGTGGTCAGGTGAGGTGAGGCGAGGTGCGGGGCCCAAGCCCAGTTGTTATTTAAGCGGCACGTCGCACGGCTTCATGCCGAGCCGCAAAATGATGAGGGGCAGCAACACCAACGACATCGGGCTGGAGAAGGTTAGGACCTGGCCCGAGTCAAGCTACGCCTTCCAGAAAAGAAGGAGTTGCCGCGCTAGTCCGTGGCCTATGGGCAGGTAAGACTGTCGGGTGCACCAGGGTATGCCCCACAAAGTACAGCACGGCGCCGATGATCACGCCTTGCTCGCGGGCTTTTCCCGAACATGTCGCTCGGGCGCGCCCTATGTAGAGGATCACTTTAAAAGCTCCAACAAGAATCCCCTGTTTTCTCTTCAACAGACTCACCCAAAAGGTACCCTTGTTCTCAACAATCATGGAAGTCAGTTTGAAAATGCCATCACTGAAACAGGCTTCCGTTCCACTTCCATGTTTGTTGGAAAAAGGGTAGACAAAACGCTGGAATTCAAGCCACTGAGCTATCTCTGAGCGCACTCGTTTTCGGCCGAAACTGGGCGCCGCATTCATTGAGCGAACAAGTAACACTGCCTGATGACTCACAACGGAATCATCGGATAGTAATTATTCTCCCATGCTTCCCAATGCTTCCCATGCTCTGCCCTAGCCGAAGTATCAATTGTCACTGCAAAGCGCATGCACTCTGATTGGCCGATGCGCATAGTTCCTATGCTGGAGGGTGGAACAAGAAAGGCAGCTCCATGAGAGCTGACCTGCGAAACCATGGATACAGGTTCCAGCACAGCGCTGAACGCAGTCGTCCCGTGGACGCCACAACGTCAGTTCAATAGTTCCACCATCTAAATGGTCATAAACAAAACACTTGTATGATGTCATCTCTGCTAGTAGCATCACATAAACCAAACAAAAACCCGGATTTGTCCTGCCTATTCGAGTCTTGTGCCAGAGTAGCTCTGGGCTGGCTGGTGGCATTCTTCACATACCGGGTATCCATCAACGATTCACCAAACGTGCATTTGCCAAGGCAAAAGTAGACAGGACGTGGGCATTGGTAGGTGCTAGTTCTTTCTTTGGTGCGACCATGTTTTGTTTGTTTCGCCAAGGAATGGGGAAAACAAACACAGCGCAAAACGAGGCCCGGAACGAGGCTCTCAGGATCTTTTGGCCAAGGAGCCGAAAATGTTTGTGACCGCCTTGTCCATCACCTGTCCGGGCGCAGGGATTTGGCATGAAGTGGCTATCTCAATCACACCTGACTCCTGAGTTGCGGGCGAAGGAAAAATCCTGTCAAGGGTGGGGTTTGCCCTCCCCCAAACAGTCAGAGGTCGTCTTTGATGCTGATGATGGCCCAAAGTAAACTAGGTGTCACATTAAGGTACAACGGTCATTTACTTACAACAATTGCAATTTTTGGAATCTATCGTAGAGCCCCCCCCCCAAAAAAGAAGAAGAAAAGAACTGGTAGCAAACACGAGGCAATGCCGGGAGCAAAGCAGTCCAACAAAGCAGTGCTGTCATTTCGCACATCCTCTTGACAACGGGGCGCACCCTACCCCAAACCGACATCCTAAACCTTCGATTCGAATCACAACGTGTGTTGCCCATCGTTTTCAATTCGGTCTTGCCTCAGCCTGGAAACCCAAACCCACCTTTGAACTTAAACATGTCCGCAATTCGTTGGGCCGATAATGTGAACGCTGAATCTTTTTCAAGCAGCTTGGGCGAATATTTTGCCAACAATTGAAGGCCACTCTAGGCTCTTGCCTTTGGTACATAGGGAGGTTGGTAGACATACACCACACCAAAAGGAGACACACCCATGTCTTAGCTGTTCCTTCCGGAGGCAAGCAGTGATGCGCACTGGCCTCCACATCTGCTGAGAATCGGTTCAGCACGCGCCCCGTGGGGTTGGTGTCCTCAGCTGCAAGTGTGTTGCACGCAATAGAGCGAAGAGCGTGGGATCCCTTCAAGTGGTCGGTACCATGGTTGGTCTCCGACTGAAGACATCGCCATGCATGAAGAATCGCAGAGCAACCCCTGAACATGCCAAGTAGGTCTGCTGAAAACAAAGGTCGGCAATTGCTAAGCCACAGATACGTTTCCTAAGCCAGGGAGCTGATCACCATGCATCCGGCAATGAAGAAACTAGCCACGGGCATCAACCTACTGCCGGGAATGCGAAGCGACCAGGATGCTTGATATGACATATGATATGATGTTCAAGGTAAGAAAAAACCTGTCCAGGTTGCTCTCCATCCGGGTCTAAATCACGGCCTCAAGAACATGACCTAATCAAGGACAGCCAACTATGCGTTTCAATATGCTCGAACATGAATGGCATTCCCTGAGGTGCCCATTCCGTCACGGGAAAAGTGGATCGAGTGGATCCAGCCTGGAGTTCATTGGCGAGATTCTCGATTTCAGGGAACGGGGCCCCTTTGCAATGTCAAATTATTTGCGAGTAGTGGCAGATTGTTCAGGCTCTTCTTTCGGCTTTCGGCAACGCCCTGCTCATTCCTGATGGCTGATGGCTGTGCTGTTCGCCACGATTGCAGTTTTCCCGCCACTCCGTCAAAGCGGCGCGGGCTCTGTTTGAGTCCCTGCCAAGGCAAGCTTGCAGGCTAAGCTTGGCGGATTGGTTTCGCCAGGTCTGGCTTCTGGAGCTGCCACGCTCCGCTCCGCTGCCGCTGTCATCTGTTCCGGCAGCGATTGCGGGCGTGGACCCTTTAAACTTTAGCCCTCCCTCCCCTGGCCACGGGGCATTGAGGGTTGCGCGTGCTCGCAGATAGAGATCGGACAGGACTGCGCTCATCCAAGCCCACTTGGCTTCGGCGGCAACGGGGCCATTGCAGCTTGGCGTCCCATGCTTCGGCGAGGGTGTTGCGCCACTCCTACTGGGCGACGTTCTGGGGCTTCTAGTGGCCAGTGCATGTGACCATGGCAGTGTGCGCATGGATTGCACATTTGGACCACTTTGTGATCACCGATGACTGCTTCTCCCAGAAGTCACACGACTTGGCTGCGGCGCCCGGCACAAGCGATCCCTAACAGAAGAAGAAGATCGTCAATCCTAGGCGACATACACCAACTGGAAAGCCGATACACCAGCAAGTAGCGCCTGAGCCAGCACTCGCAGCAGCACGGCAGCTGTTGAAGGCTTGCTCCAGGAACTTGAACCAAAATGGGTGCTGACTTCCTTTGCCATGTTCTGCTACCCCTCAAAACTACTTGCGGGATACTACTTTGGATAATTCTTCGGCCAATGAACGCAACAAGCAGGCCGCCTCAAGATCAAGCATGTCTCCTGCATTGAACACAATGAACACCAAAACTGGTGTAAGTCTCTCCCTAACACGCAGGATCCAACATTGAACTCATAGAGACTTGTTGAAGCAAGCAGTCTCCATTTGGATACCAAAGAAGGAAACACTTACAACAACTACTTGAAGGAGGTCCAATCGTTGGCATGTCCTGTCCCACAGAGACATCTAAGCCAAAGACCCACCACTGGAAGGGCTTGTAGAGGGCGCCATCCAACGCCGAAGCCTCAGCTTTCCACGCTTTCCAGCCATGAGCTTCCCCCTGAACCAGCATAATCAGAAAAAATAAATGTGACACCATCAAGTCAAGTTGTTTATACACACCACATGTATACATATAGAGCATATGTGTTTGTTTGTTTTATGTATGCATGTGTTTACTTGTCTATTTATCCTTATGCCTTTTTTGGATTGACAAGACGTGCTTATCTTGTCAGGTGCCTCATCCTTGCCCAGTGACATTGTTGTCTTTGGTGGGGGGCAACCTCTCACCAACAAAAACATGTTATCCACTGAACAACTGGGTCCACAACTTGCTTCCCAGAATGAGGGACTGACTATGAACCATTCCTCGGGGTTTCCCATAGGATCCCCTTCCTGTTCATTCCCAACCCTTCCACTGCCCGGAGGTTCTCTGAGGCTTTGGCAAAGATTTTCTCGGCAGCACCTCAGTTCGGACGGGCGTGCATCAGAATATGAGGCGACACACGTGGTGGTTGTTCTTTTGGTTTCCTTTTAGGCCAACCTGAAAGGGGTCCCGCAAAAATCAAACAGCCAAACCTGAGAGGGTCCTGCAAGGGAAAAGGGTTTTCCTGCTGGCCTCGTTCAGGCTATGTGTTTGGGGGGGGATTTTGATGCGAGTCTCAGGTTTCAGGATTGGTCGGGGGGTTGATCGTGGGACCAGTCATACATGAAATCCAGCCATGGTACTGGCATGATTACTACGTTCCTTGTCCAAACTTCCCTTGCGCATCATGACGGCAGGCATTGAATCAGCAAGACACCTGGCAAAGTAGACCTCTAGCCAATAAACTCGAAATAATTCAAAGCAACTACTCCCAGGGGTCATGCGAATCCAAGCAAACCAGTACAGCCTGATAGCAAACTTTCCGCATATTGTATATGCATGTGGATCACGGCACTCACAACACGAGCACGGCCGCTTCTGATGGCATCCGCTCTCTGGCGGCATTTGCTCGTCGCAGTCATGATGCAACACATCGCAGTCACGAGGGAGGCCGCGGAAAGGAAGCAGCCAGGTCTGGTCAACACATTTCTCTCCAGTGTGGTCAGAAAGGGCTTCGATGTTATCCATCTGCCAGCAACCGCTCATCCATAAATTTATCCTGGTGATTCACGAGTGTTGCCATCCGCTGCGGCAAATCGGACAAAGGCCATTGTTAAACAACTGACTGAGTAGACAGGGACTGCAGGTTGCTCTCCAACGGGCCTAAGCTGTTGCAGCAAATTATGCGCGTAGTCATGCAGCAACTTTGGTGTTCCATGGGCCTTGTTGCTCAGGAATCGGAGCTTGAAACATATCCTTCCAATCAAAGCAACTTGAAGAATCGCCCTGGGATATTCAGGGCGTGTGCCCTAGACTTGGAATCAACGTGTCCTAGGAAAACATGAACTGATGAAACCAGGGAGTTGAATGTGCACGCCAAAGTCAGCCAACCGCTGAACGGAAAACGCATCGTGTCAGTTCTGATTTATCGTAGGTCCCCAACTGGAACAAAAGGCTTGCAAGGCTCGCAACCGATTTGAAGCAAATGGACATAAGAACTGGGTATGCCTCTTGACTTGGGGAGCGCGCTTTCTCGCGGCTTTCAGGGCACACCAAAGAAAGACTCACCACGCAACTGGAGCGTTCTATGATTCAAAAAGTACCAACATGGAGTCTTGATCACAATTCACCACCAGCGGGTTTGGCTTCTTTGTTGCGAAAGGGTTTGAAACAGAGTTTCGGGAGAGAATAAACAGGCCCAATCCCACCAACAAGAAGAGATTGTTTAAGTCCCCCAGTCCCAAGGGCAAAGCGGTGCCCTCGGCTGGCAATGAACCACACAGATAACAAACGGGGAATCCTGTTTAACCGCAAAACCCAAACAGGAAAGGGGACCAGCGCAGCCAACCAGGCGAGCGCAGCAAGCAAGCGAGCAAAGCAATTAACCAAGCAAAAACGGAGCAGCAGCAACAGAGCGCACACCACCAGACAAACAACCGACCCACAACCAAAGAACGTGCCTACCGCCGCGAACCTCAGCCCGATCTTTTGCACGACCGGGATGAGTAGCGGCGCCGTAGGCAGCCGATGCCGTTATGGCGGCGGAGTCCGACGCGGTGAAAAGCTTGAGCCAAACGGCGCATTGGCCGTGGCGTTGAAACATGTTGCGATAAAACTACATGCCCCCAAAAACACCCCCCTCGCCTGTACAAAGAGAAGGAGTGAATTTGGAAGGGCGCGTTGGCCATATTGAAGTTGAGTAGGAACAAACAAGGAAAAGCAGGAGATTAGGCTACCAGGGTTCACGACCCCACACCCGGGCACGCATTGGAGCCCGGATCCCGCCACCACCCCGAATTACGGGTATGGGGCGGATACTCGCCGGTAGCCAAATCAAACAAGAGAAAGCAACAAAAGAAAAGAACAAAGGATCAACTTCGGAATGGCCGGCATGAAGCCAAAGAATTATCATTTGCATTGCAACCACATTGAACCATTCGATTCAAGTGGATTTAATTTTTAATTATTAGATTAGGCGCATTGGCCAGTCGGTTGAAACATGGTGCATAGACCAATGAGCCTTGGTTATAAATTAGCACCGTCTAGGCGCGCGATCATTCGAGGACAATCGCCATGGGTACCACCAGCAGCGATCCGTGGTTTAGGTCCGAGTAGGACATCACCAGCAGCGGTGCGGGGCATCCGTGATCCTCACCTCGGCACCTTGATGAGCACCACCACCAGCAGCAGCAGCGGTGCAGAAGGATGCAGATCACCAGCGGCCATAGACGCCGCCGAGAGTGACTGCCTTGCTGTGGCGACGCACACCTGACAGGTAATCGCAGCTTGCGCGAATAGCGCGCAGCCACGCATGCAGTTGAATTCTGAAATGGCGAATAGCCCAGACAACGAAATACGACAAGGAGCATAGTCCCTCTTGTGAATTCCGAAATGAAAGCATGCGCGCGTTGGCGCAGCCATGCAAAACGCACAGACAGACTTCAGGTATTACCGATGTCGTCCACCGCCGTGCCGCCCCTTCCCCTTGCTGACATTCCAGTCCCCAGGGGGAGGAGGCACTGTCTCGGCCAACTCGTCATCGTCACCCCAGGTAGGGGTATGCGGCGAGTTCGGATTCTCGAACTCGCGGGGATCACCCTGCATATGCGGCTGCCAACCCTGCGGCATTGCGCCAGGCCACATTTGTGGCATCATGCCAGCCATGGGCTGTTGCATGTATCCTGCCATTGGGAAAGTGGGATACATCGGACTCGGGAACGGGAAAGGGGCAGCCTGTGCACCCTTGTACCCCGACCCGCGAGCATCAGGCTGATACCCGCCAGTGGGAGTTCTCGATCTGGCGGATCCGCCTCGACCGAACTGGCCTTGTTGGTAGCCGTATCGGCCACCCTTGCCTTTGTACTGATCACCCTTTTGACCCTTTCCTGGAAACTGGTCACCCTTGTGACCTCCACCCTTGGGCCAGGATTGCGCAGGGGCTTTGCCCTTTTGCTGATCCCCCTTTGACCTGGATTCAGGTCGCGGGGTAGCAGACCGATGATCTCCCCTAGGAGTGGCTGCCCGCCTATGGTGCTTCCCAGTCGGCGGGTCAGCAAAAACAATGGCGCATTGGCCGTCCCGCTGTGCAGCGGGGACCATGTCAACCTTGTTGTTCTCGACATAAATGTATGCCTCAGCATACTCAATCGGGGCCGTGATGGATCCACCACCGGCCCGCAGAGAGTCGATACTCAAATCAAGAACTGTGGAGGCATCAAAACTTGGGTCCTCACTATTGAAGTCCGAGAGGCGTCGCTCAGCCTGTACCAATGACATTATGATGTCCGCGCGTGAGGCGCCTAGGCCATACAGCGGAACCAAATATCCGTCCTCAATTCCGATGCGGTAGGCATCATAAATATGCACAGAGAGGTAAAGAGCAAATGCTGAATTTAGACTGCCCTTTCTCGTCATATGACGACCCCATTGCGCCGCCTGTTGCGGGTGCTCGACCAAATATGTCATGACAGACATATTGTCGGGAATTGGAACACCAGTATTGCTCTCCTCGATGAGCAGCTGTTTCGCTACCCACCGTTCGAGCCCATTGCATAGAATGGTGCCATACATATTCAAATGCGCGCACCGAGGGCACCAGTAGTCATGCATGGGAGCTTTGTCCCATGAAAATGACACCCCTCTCCGCGGTCCCTGGACGTTCAATTCTCGGACCGCCCAGGGACGGATGTATATTACATCCCCTTCCTGGTGCAGATAGCATGCGCGCCAGAAGGGCGCATGTATCTCCTCTCGCACAGCAATCAAACCGCGTCGGGTTTTATAGATGCCGGCGGCTTCCTCGATGGCCATCCACTTCAGGTCAACGGCCACAACGACATGGCGCTTGTCCATGTATTTGACGCGATCGTCAACATAAAATTCGCCCTCATTATTGGGGCTTGGCAACTTGAGGAGAGGCACCTTTGCGCCCTCCAACCCAATCATGATTTCCCCCCTGCAGACCTGCTCAGGTCGCATGGGGAAAACTGTGATGGCGAATTTGCCGGGCCTCCGGATACTCGGCCATCGTCAGCAGCACGTATCCCATATAAGGGACCTCCGCTGCTCCCATCGGCCTAAGCAAAGGCCCCATAGGCGTTCGGTCACGCAGTGCCCAACGCTTGAAAACTTTAAACGGCACGTCCCTCCCGATTAGGGTGGAACGCGCAAAAAGCACCTCATTTGGGCGCACAATCGTGCCATCTCCCCTCCAGACTGTCCGTATCAGGAGCTCGACTGGAGGGTACGCTGGGCTCTCCTTCGCGAGAGAACCCGCCCAGGTCGCCACCTCGACACTCGTGCACTTATGGATCCCGTATAGGGCCTCAAAGAGCGTGGAGATTAGAGTCATTGACATCCAACCTCCCAGAATGACTGGAACCGTCCCACACGAGCCGGCTCACCGGGCTTCACGTTCAACCGCGTTGGGTCAGTGTTGCCCGACAAAATTTCTAGCAGCATTTGCGACTCTCTGGAGCTTCGCCCAATCATCGCCGACGTATCCTTAATTTCTGGGAAAAAATGGAAGATGTCGTTACCGGCAGGACAGGCGATTCTGCCTGCTGTCCCGCTCTGTGCATCAAACACAACCTCTTCACCCTCGTATGTGAGGTTGTAGGTGCTCGCAATCGGGCACACATCGGGCTTTGCCATCAGTGCCTCCTCTAGCGACGCACCAGCAGGGAGGACTCCCTGTACGTGCGCATTGGCACCAATGGGACCAGTCCCCGCTGACATAAGCCGATAATTTTCAGCACGAACGTAGGGAAAAAGGTTCTTCATCCTCTCAATTTCCTCTTCTGTGGTGCGCCACGCCTTTGCCTCATAGTAGGGCGGCTCCTGCTTTGAGGGCACTAGGTCGCGGTCGCCCATTGATGAGA